TAATTTTTTTTTGAAGCCTAATGTATTGCGTAATTGTTTTAAATTATTTGGTAAATGTTCGTACAATTTTGGAGCTATATACAGGTGACATCGTTTCATTAGGGATTTGTTTGGTTTAGGAACATTTTTTGCGCGTAATTTATATCTGGTTTTATGATTATGTTTAATTATGTCGTGTTCACTAATAGTTTTGTGATAATGAGTGATGGTATGTAAGAAGTAAAGTTGTTTAGTATCATATACTTGTGCATCATTATATAAGTCATTAGTTGGGTATAATTTTGATTTGCCTAACATTGATTTTAAAATTCTTCTTTGAAGTACATCTAAATCGTTAAAGTATGTCGTGCATGCAGCACCCCACACTACTATACCATATTTTATGTGTGGCTCGATTAAAGCTTGATATATTATTCGTAGATAATATTCAGTTAATATACCGGTTAGAAATTTTATTTTATATGCTATGAATCTAATTTTCTTTAGTATGTGAGAAATATGTACATCCCATCTCAAGTGGGGATCTAGATAAATTCCTAAATATTTTGTATCATTAACTCTATTGATTTTTATATTTTTATCATTTACCTTAAACCGAAGGTGGTTATATTTTGGTAGATGATTAGATAGTGATGAAAATGGTAAAAAATGAGTTTTAGTAAAGTTAATTGTTAATTTCCGGTTATTAAACCACTGAATAATTTTGCAAAAGTCATTTTGGATAATATCTTTTAAGTCGTTCCAATCCTTACCTTTATAGAGTATAGCAGTATCGTCTGCAAAACTGACTATTTTACCAGTACTGTTAATTTTGAATATATCGTTTAAATAAATATTGAATAACAGAGGACCCAAAATTGTACCTTGTGGAACACCACATTTAACAAACATTTCTTTACTATACGAGCTTAATAATTTTACTGATTGCGGTCTATTTGATAAATAATTTTCCATTAAAGTATACATCTTTCCACGAAAACCTATTCTTTCTAAGATTTTCAAAAGTATATTGTGGTTAACTGTGTCAAACGCTTTTTGTAAGTCCACAAATACGCATATCGATGGCACTTTTCCATCTATATTTTGGGTTATTTCATCTACTATACTTAATACCCCATCTGTTGTAGATTTGCCTGCTATAAAACCATATTGATTTGAATTTAGAATTTTGAATTTATTAAGAAAATTAATCATTTTATTAAGGAGTAATTTCTCAAAAACTTTAGCTAAACTTGATATAAGTGAAATAGGTCGATAGTTAGTGACGTCCGTATTATCATTAGATTTATAGATAGGTATGATGATTGCTGTCTTGAAAGCTGATGGAAATACTCCAGATTGGAAGGATTTGTTAATGATATAAGCAAGTGGTTCTGTTATTTGTTTGGCCAGTATCTTTAGATGTTCAGCTCTAATTTCGTCAACTCCAGGGCTTTTTTTATTTTTTAGAGTCATAATGGCATTGAAAACATCCTGATAGTCTACTTCAGTTAATACAAATGAATTATTCAGTCTTGTTTCATGCAGATGAATATCAGCATTTTGTTTGATATTATTTGCTAAGTTTCCTCCTATATTCGTGAAAAATTCTATGAACTCATCACATATTTGCTGAATATTGTCTGTTTTCTGTCCTGTTTTTGTTTTTATTTCATTAATATTGTTTTTTGAATAGGATGACTTATTGAATATATCATTGACAGTGGACCATAGGTGTCTAGAGTCATGTGAATTATTATTCAATTGTTTTATATAGTAATTTTTTTTTGCTTTTCTCAAAAGTTCTATAAATTTGTTTTTATACTGATTATAATGATCTATATTTTCTTTCGTGGGTAAATATTTCATGATTTTATACAGTTTTTCTTTTTCGTTTGCAGATTTTATTAGTCCTTTGGTCATCCAATCATTTCTGCTTTTTTCCTTGTGACTTATTTTAACCTTATTAGTACTAACTGCAATTACTTTTTGAATTTTGTGTATTAATAAATTTGTAGCTTCGTCTAAAGAATTTGTTAAAAAAATTTCGTCCCACGATTCCGTTTGTGCGTTAAATATTAATTTTGAGTTGTCAGTGAAATATTTGTATTCAAGGTTCCTTTCATTTTTTGTCCTTGGGCAGTTCTGGTTTTTATTTTGTGAAGATATCAATAATACAGTGGAATAATGATCTGTAATATCGGTTTCATAGATAATAGGTATGTAAGAAAAAATATTGGAAATATCCTTTATAAAGCAGTGATCAATGCAGGTTTTACTGGTGGGTCGTGTTACTTTATTTATGTATGATAAAAAGCCATTACTTGATAAAATGTTTAAATATTCTTTCACCATAGAATTTTCCTCTAAAATGTTTATATTGATGTCGCCTATAAATATTTGATTATGAAGGTGATTGTTTTCATTGTTTTTTAATAGTTCATCTATGTCTCTTATAAATGTATGAGGATCTGAAGATGGTGGTCGGTAAACACAAGTAATTTTGACTCTACGATTTTCAATTTGCATTGTTAGATTGATACCTTTTAGTTCATTGTTGATTGTAAATATGGTATGTTTATAAGGCAGATTGTTTCGTACATACACCATCACTCCATCGTTTTGATTATGGTTACCAAAATTATACAATGTATCGTACCCTTCTAAATGAAACAGAGTCACATCGCCCACTTGCCATGTTTCGGATAGAATGATTATATCTATATCACTTTGTATTCTTTTCAAAATTAATTTAAAGTAGTCAAAGTTATGTTTTATACTTCTGATGTTCATATGATAAATTCTAACAGATATTTCAGGATTTTGTAAAAAAGAATCTAGCTCGCTAGTATCATGAGCAGTATTAGTACTAATACGTTGAATTTGGAAGTTATTTACATAGTCGTGTGTCATGAATGATGCAATATTCTAAAATGTTGGCTAAAGTTTCTTCTTTCTTAAAAAAGGATTTTCAAGTTGTACTGCTGTTGATAATATAGAAAAGTTGGACATTTTTTATCTAATGGTGAGTGGTTGGTACTATAATTTTTGTTATATCTATAGTTTGAAAATTTGCAATTACAACATACAACCGGTTCATGCTTACAACAGTCAGTATCGTGTACATCCTCTTTGCTGCAGTTGGTACAGGTCTTGTTATTGCGGCATTTTTTCTCGGTGTGATTGAAGCGAAGACACTTCTTGCATTGCGTTATTTCGTTATTATCATACACTGGTAAACATTGCCATCCAAGAAGAATTTTTCCATTGTTATCTTCAAATATTGTCCTGAATAATTTGCCAGAAATGTCTGCAAATAATGTGTAACATTTTTTCGATGGGAGATACTTTACATATTTGATTTTGATGTCATCTTTTTCAATAAAATGATTTTGTTGGATAAGATCTAATTCTATGTCTTCTTCATGTGGTTTCTCCGTGCATCTATAATTGACAATTTTGATCTTCGGTCTAAACATTGTAGGTTCTGTGATTTTGTATTCATCTCCTAATTTCTTTTCGAATTCAGTTTTGAGTGTGTTGTGGTGTTCCTCAGCCAGTTTAATTATAATTCCTCCATTTTTAGAATTTCGTATATTTTCTATTTGTATTTTCAAATCCGTAAGGCTAATTTTTTTGTTAAGGTCTTTTCTCGTTTGTTCAGATGTTTGGATACCATTTGGTGTGACAATTATGTTCTTCATTGGGTCTTTCTTGATTGTTGGAGTATCTCGCTTTAGTACTTGGGCATATGATTTCTCTTTAATTTTCTCAATTTCAGTCAATCTTTGATTTATTTTATTTATCATTGTTTCAACGGTACCTTTTTCGTGTATGGCTGATGTCGCTAAATTGTACTGTTCTTGTAGTCTTCCATTTTCATTGCTCAACTGTAGTATTAGTTTATCCTTTTCTTCTAATATCTGTTTTAAGTGTTTATTTTCTTCTAGAATCTTCTGAGTGTCCAAGTTTCCATCAATGGAACAGTATTGTCTTTAGTGACGATTCTCGATTTTGTTTAGGCATGCACGATGGTCGTGCCAGGGTTAGAAGGCGACGTGGTGAAAGGAGGAATCCACAGTTTTTTGTTGAAAGACATGTTCATCACACTGTTGGAGTTATGGTTTGGGGTGCTATAGCTTATGGTTCCAGGTCACATTTAATCTTCATCAGAGGTAACATGAACGCGCAGCGTTATATCCACGAAGTTCTAGAACCCCATCTTTTACCCTATCTTGACACCCTGGCAGATCCAACTTTTCAACAAGATAATGGCCGACCACATGTTGCAAGAGTCACAATAGACTTCTCTCAACATAATGATGTCACATTGTTACCATGGCCACCAAGATCTCCCGACTTATCCCCAATTGAGCACGTGTGGAATATGATGGGTAGGAGATTGCTCAATTTGCAACGTGCTCCTCAGACTCTAGAAGCACTACGAGAGGAGTTGGTGGTTGCCTGGAATGAGATACCACAGGAGGACATTGACCACCTGATCAGAGCATGCCTAGGCGCGTTGGAGAATGCGTAGCACATCAGGGTGCATCCACACATTATTAAAGGTGAAAGGGCTTTAATGCAGTGTAATCATTTTGAAATTTTTATCATTTACTTATTATGCTTCATTAAGTACTTATACAAAATTTTATTAAAATAAAACCATTTAAACTGGGTGTTCGGATTTATATGTCACTTAGTATTAGTATGTGCGATGTTATACTCCATGCATGGATGGCAAAGACCGACCTACAATTTCCAATAAAGAGTTCGGTTTCGCGCTCATAGAATGTGTGCCGTTTTAGATTAAAAAAAGAAGAAACAGATGGAACACCCTATATATGCCATTTTAACTGAATGCAGCACGTGCAACATAAGAACACAAAACCTTAGCAAGTTTGTGTTGTCGTTAGTACAATTACCCTCGCACAAGGTTCACCCTTCTGCGAGTCTTTTGGGTGCATACTTTCAAGATAAATAAACATTAGTATATATGATTATTAAATATCACGAGAATGATCTCTGGAACTAGTATATTTCGTCAAATTTCACGATTTAAGAATCCTTGACTACTACACAAAGTGAATAGCGATCGACGACAAACTGGACCGATGTCTCAATTTTCTGTAGAATCGAGAAAACGCGTCTATCTCATTAACATATTACTAGCCAACTAGAAGTGATTTATTAACTATCGCGGAGCGGCATAATTCTAAATTTAATCAATGTTTTCTGTAAACGTAAGAGCAATATCGTACGTCATTAATTAATTGCATTTGTGTATAAATACTCTTTCAAAGTTTTGCCAAACCCAGCAGCAGGACAGACCACTAATTGCAAGAGGTTATTATTACTAGTGTTTAAAATTATATCATGGACGCCATTTACAAGTGAGACCTCCGCTCTCAGGTATGTTACATTTTTAACGATTTTGTTAGAAAGAAGCTGAATTTTAAATCATAGTTGACATTATCGTTTTTAATTTAATTTGCCTCTGTAATTTATTAAAGCACATACATGCATAGTATATTAATATTACGTCGATAAGTTTAAATATACATCCGGACCGCTATTTTTAGGATATTGGAAATTGTTTCTAACAAAATAGATCACATTTTCAGACAGGAAAATATAGGCTATAGGATATTTTTGTGGCAGTTTCGCTTAAGGATTAAAAAAATGGTCTCGATACCTCGATATTTAGGTTTCTGCCAACGTGGTGTCAAGTAGGTTGACTGCACCCCAACGCAATGCCGTCATCAGTTCATAAAGCACAAGTTAGGCGGTCGGGATCAAAGCTAGTTATAAACTTTTATAACAGAAAAGACAGTTAATCAAACTCATAAACATTCTTTCCCTGTTTTACCGGTAGTACCGTGAGTCTGGCAACGTCGCCTCTCCCACATACCTAAGCGCACGATGCGTCAGACGCGGCAGTCATGCCAGGACTCTTATATAGGCTGGCACGCCCACCGGTTAGTCCAAAGAGCAGAAGCGTGATCGTATGTCGAAAACGTGTCTCTGTTTTAGGTGTAAGTGTGGGGGACATGTATAACATGTAAAATATTTACTAAAAGGTGCATTGAATTACCGAAGTTCGGAGCGTAGGAGCATTTATTATTTATTATTAGATATACCCACCCTCACCCCTACAACCATCTACCAACTACAAACCTCTCACCTCTCCTCCCAATTCTTTAACCCACAAATGCTTATAAAAACGATCAGTATCCTCTTAAACGTCAAAGATCGCCGCCACTAGGTCGATTTTCAAAAGCTACAACGATTTTTCGTCCTTAGCGTAGTGGTAATCTTGTGTAAAAATTTCATCCAAATTCGAGCAGTAGCTGTAGGAACAGAATCTCCTTAATTTGGACCATGAAATGACTCAAAATCGTATAATGAGATATCTTCTATATTCGTTTTAGCTACTGCATATAAAAACTAAACTATCTGGGCACTCAACGAGACATAAACAGATTGAATCAAAGTATAGGCTGCAGGTCATGACAAGTTAAAAAGATAGTTACGTCACAGTGCGTATAGTGATAAAATTAAAACTACAATTTTACGAGCAGTGACAATGACCACGGCTATATATATACTAAGTGACATATAAATCCGAACATCCAGTTTAAATGGTTTTATTTTAATAAAATGATATACATTTCAAAATGATTGCAGTGCTTTAAAGCCCTTTGACCTTTAATAATGTGTGGATGCACCCTGATGTGCTACGCATTCTCCAACGCGCCTATGCATGCTTCTGATCAGGTAGTCGATGTCCTCCTGTGGTATCTCATTCCAGGCAACCACCAACTCCTCTCGAAGTGCTTCTAGAGTCTGAGGAGGACGTTGCAAATTGAGCAATCTCCTACCCATCATATCCCACACGTGCTCAATTGGGGGTAAGTCGGGAGATCTTGGTGGCCATGGTAACAATGTGACATTATTATGTTGAAAGAGGTCTATTGTGACTCTTGCAACATGTGGTCGGGCATTATCTTGTTGGAAAGTTGGATCTGCCAGGGTGTCAAGATAGGGTAGAAGATGGGGTTCTAGAACTTCGTGGATATAACGCTGCGCGTTCATGTTACCTCTGATGAAGATTAAAGATGATCTGGAACCATAAGCTATAGCACCCCAAACCATAACTCCAACAGCGTGATGAACATGTCTTTCAAAAAACTGTGGATTCCTCCTTTCACCACGTCGCCTTCTAACCCTGGCACGACCATCGTGCATGCCTAAACAAAATCGAGACTCGTCACTAAAGACAATACTGTTCCATTCCTGATCCCAGAGTGACCGTTGTCTGCACCACTCAGGGTGATTACGTCGGTGTTCTCGAGTTAAAGGGAGGACTCAGTGTGGCCGGTATGAAAACAAGCCAAAACTTCTCATTCGTCGGTAAACACTTCACATGCCAATAGGTCTTCCGTGTTCTGCAAACCATTCATTTGCAATGGACCTGGTAGTGGAGAAACGGTCCCTTAAGGGCAATAATCTTAGGCGGCGATCTTCACGGTCTGTTGTTCTACGGCGGCGTCCAGTGCCCCTTGCTCTTTGCGTACGGCCTTCTGGAAGCCATGCCTGACAACACCTAACCACAGTGTCTACACTTCTTTGTACTCTTAACTGCAATTGCCCGAAAAGAAAGTCCAGCTTCCCGAAGTCCCACTATACGGCCCCTATCAAACTTACTAAGTTGACGAAATCGTACAGGTCTCCGTACTGTAGGCATCGTAACCGATCGTAAAGGATGTCAAGAACCAAAATCCGCCAACGTTGATTCTTTACTGCGGCTGAAATATTCATTTTTAGAGCGCTAGTGAATTAAAAAAAAGCAGTACAAAAACCGGAATGTCCAACTGATAAGGCTGAAAATTTTTTCACTTGTTATTTACAGTAAGATAAATACATTCACCAACTTTTATTAAAATAAAACCATTTAAACTGGGTGTTCGGATTTATATGTCACTTAGTATATATGCTATCATAAACTCAAGATATTTCCTCCCCCAACTCTCTACAACCCTCACCCCCAATTTTTTAGTCCTAACATTTTTTTTATAAATTATTAGTATTCTCTGAACCTTCGACGTCGTAGGTACCTGGGACCGCTGCTGATATTCGTTCCTAATTTTTCCCCACTACTATCTGTCGTTCACACGTATCCGTCTTAATACCTTCCTTAGTACAACAGCATGCTAGAGTAGTGTAGTCGTGTTTATTTGAGCGTTAGTTTTTTTCGTAATAAAAGAAAGCGGTCCGTGGTACCTCACAGCGGCTTAAGTGTAAAGTGTCTGGGTGTGTATACTTTATCTGAAGTCACTTGAAACACTGTGAAATACCGGGTGCGTTTTATATATCTATATTTAACACGCTCTGTTGCTGCAAATATCGCCAAATTTCGCAGCAAATATCCCCCGTATAAGATCAAAGGAAGTTTCACCGGTCCACGTGGAGTAAAGCACGCCTATGCGTGGACATAGCCAATGAGAAAGCGTGTATTTCAGAGCTCCGAACAAGTGCAGGTGGCTACTGAAAATTGAAACAGTTTAGCCAGTGCCATGTAGCGGAGAATAAACGTGTTTTCTTTAGTCTGTCCGTGTTTTTTCATAGATTTTATTAGTTTGTGTGTTTTTGACTTTTGAATACTCAGTTTACTTGTTGATTTAATTGTTGTGTTGATTGTTCTTGTGTGTCCTAAATATGGCTCTTTGGAGACCTTGGGAAAATGCTCCAAGCCACGAGGAGATGGTTGATGAACCTGTGCAGGCAGAATTCTTTCATAAAGATTTAGAGGAACAGACCCAAAGAGTAATCCTAAATATGTATGATTGTCTGAAAAACGAAAATCCAGATTCCTCGCAAAATCAAATTTTAAACAGAATTTGTATCCTGACAAAAATCAGTCGGTCTACCATTTATCGGGTTATAAAAAGGGGAGATGTAGTCAACCATTCCTTCCACAGAAAGCGCATAGGGCAAAAATTAAAAAGAATAGAAGGAAGATATTCGTCGTTTAATATACGGATTTTATAAAGAAAATTTGGTGCCCACGTTGGAAATGATACGGGATAAATTAAAAGATTATCCTGAAGATTTTTATAATTACAAATGCTTAGACTCACTGCACTGTATTGTAAAACTGTGTGGTTTTCAATACAAAAAATTAGATAAAAGAACGGTGATTATGGAGTCGTCTCGAATCGTTGAATTGCGCCAAGAATTTTTGCACAAAGTTAAAATCTATAGAGAGCAGAAAAGAAATCTGATTTACCTAGATGAAACGTGGTATGATACCCATGATGTTGTGCAGTACGGCTGGGTTGACGACAGCAACAAGTGCATTTTAAATGCACCATGCAACCGTGGAAAATGAATCATTATTCTCCATGCTGGCAGTGAAAATGGATTTATACCTAATGCCTTGCTGTTATCTGCCAAAAACATCAAAGAATCATGTGCCGTCTATCATGAGGACATGACCTCCGACTTATTTGAAAAGTGGATAGAGCAGCAGTTAATACCAAACATTTCCCCAAATTCAGTGATTATTATGGACAATGCGCCATACCATTCCCGACAGAAAAACAAAAATTCCGAATACAGGCACAAAAAAACAAGACATTATTGATTTTATGAAGGATAAGGGAATGGAAATACCAAAAAAATCAACCAAAGCCATATTATTGGATCTTATTAAAAGACAAAAATTTGAAAAAGAGTATGTTGTTGACAATCTGCTTCAGCAAAATGGCCATGAAGTATTACGTCTACCTCCCTATTACTGCATTTTTAACCCGATTGAGTTGGTCTGGGCTGCTTTAAAAAAAAAGTAAGAAAACATAATCAGACCCCTCAATTAAGTGAATCGCTATTGGCCACAATAAGAGATGCAGTATCTCATATTGCTGCCACAGACCTATGGAAGCAGTGTTCTAGGCATATTATTGAAAAAGAAAGTGAATATTGTGTTTTCCCTCCTGTAAATCCCGTTGTAATTCCTCTACAAGATGACTCTAGCGACAGCTCCGAAGGCGAGGATGATATATAAATACCTATAATGTAAGTCTTTATATACCTACCTGCTATGTCAATATTTGCCTATGTCAAACGTTGGAATTCTGTAATTTTTCCATTTCTTAACTTTCAGTCAACATACATTAAACACCCAATATAAGTATTTTTTATGCCAAATCAAAAAAATAAGAAGATAGTAAAATCCATTTATTGTGATATAAAAACATTATTATTATCGTTCTAAATAAATGACCGCACGCCTATGATACGTCATGAAATTACAAAGGACGCGCCGACCAAAGGTTTTTATGCTGTTTCAAGTGACTTCAGATAAAGTATACAACATTTTTGTATTGTTAATAAAAATGTCGAAGCCAAGG